TCAGAGTGCACTGGAAAATGGACAAGAGATTGCTGTTAAGAGGCTTTCCAAAAATTCTGGACAAGGATTAGATGAGTTCAGAAATGAAGTTGAGTTGATCGCCAATCTTCAGCACCGGAATCTTGTGAAGATTCTTGGATGTTGTATTCAAGATGATGAGAGAATCTTGATCTATGAATTCATGCCTAAACAGGAGCTTGGATCACTACATTTTTGGTTTGCGGCTTTGGCTCATATGCTGTCTACTCTGCATTTATTCTTTACTCTATTACTGCCAAAATCATTTTATGATCATACTAACTTAAAATAGGGAACATACAGATCAAACAAGAAGCAAATTATTGGATTGGAATAAGCGCTTCCAAATTATAAGTGGGATTGCGCGAGGACTTCTTTATCTTCATCGTGATTCTAGATTAAGAATCATCCAGAAAGATATCAAAACAAGCAATATTCTTCTAGATAATGATATGAATCCAAAAATATCAGACTTTGGAGTAGCAAGGATGCTTGTGGGTGATCATACTAAAGCCAATACTTAAAAGAGTAGTGGGAACTCAGTAAGCAAGCTTAAACATTATTTAATTATTGTACATATACATTTTTTTTATCTAATCTCATGTCACTTGTGTTTGTAGTGGTTACATGTCTCCTGAGTATGCAGTGTATGGATCATTTTCAGTGAAATCAGATGTCTTTAGCTTTGGTGATATTGTACTAGAGATAGTTAGTGGGAGGAAGAACACAAAATTTCTTGATCCACACCATCAACTTAACCTTCAATGGTCATGTAAGCATAGAGTAAAATCTATAATTTTGTAACATTATTATAAAAAACCTCATTTAATTTAATAGTGATTTGATCATTTAGTATTGGCATTACAGAGTGAAATCATAATTAACTTGGTTTTCATTTTCCCCCAGGCATGGAGATTGTGGAGTGAAGAAAGCCCTTTGGAACTGATAGATGAATCACTAGGAGATTCAATAAATGAAGCTGAAGTATTAAAAATTGTTCATATGGGCCTCTTATGTGTTCAACAGAAACCAGAAGATAGGCCCAATATGTCAAGCGTAATCTTAATGCTGAATGGTGAGAAACCATTACCCAAGCCCAGGCAGCCCGCATTTTATCCACACCAAGATGATTCTTCATCAAGCAAGTGTGAATTTTGTTCTTCAAATGGAATGTCCATCACATTAGAGGCAAGATAGTGAATCTGAACTTCATTACGAATGAGAAAGGGACTTTTCAAGGTTTCATATTACATAATTATATGGTCATAAGAATTAAAACAAATGATAGCAACAAATTCTTTGACACATTTTATATAATTATATTTTTAAAGTCAAACTTACTTATTTCATAGATTAATTACTTTTTAAAAATCGACCAATTAAAAGAAATATATCATTAATACTTCTGAGTAATGGAAATATACCCATAATGTCTCGATTTTCCAAATGAGTTTTGCCTCGTCGGAATATTACTGGGCCTTGACTTTCTTGCTCCCAAAATGGGTTTGGGTCAAGTGAGCCAGTCTTAGTACACAACACAATGTGTGAGGTTGGTCAGTAATATAATTTCAGAATATATTAATTATTTTAAAAAAATGAAAATTCTGAAAGGAGTGTACGAAAAGATGCTATCGAAAATTTAACAAATTTTATCATTTTTAATTTAATCCTTGCAAGGTTTAATATAAGAAAAATATATATTTTTTGAATGATTATATAAATACATAATATACTGAATAGAGATCGTACTTTATATAACATGAGATGAATTTTTATTCAATTTTTAACCGAGAATAAATTAATTTATTTAATAAAAATTTTTAATGAAAATTTTTTAATAGTTAATTAAACTAATAGTTGGAGATATCAATTTTTTTTTACTGTCAAAGTTTTAAATTGATTATTCATATAATGTTATGTAAAAATATAAATAAGTTATCAAAGAAAGTTAGATTGAATAACTCATAAATATTTTGTTTCATCAACAAACGTACCATTTTTGATTTTTGGTCTTGTTGAATCACACTCATTGGATATAAAATACAAGTTAACTTAAATTTTATATAAATTTTTTTAAAATAAAAACCATACAAAATAAAAAAAAATCTTCAAGTTAAACCATTAAAATTGATTTAATTTATTTATATTACAATATTTACATTAAAAAAATGAAATGCATATTATTTTTATATTTAATATAGATAATTTTTATAGAAAAATTAAATTAGACCAAATCCTGAACACGTTATTATTACATTTTATTTTATTCTATTTCATATATCTTTTATTTAAATCCATCATATTTTATTTCATAGTTCTGTTGTGTTATCATTTCTAATATCACTTCATAAAAGATATAAATTTATTTATATTTATAAAATATCATTAGTGAAGAAAAAAAATAGAATAATTGAGTACATTTTACTGATTCAGAAAATTTAATGAGATGTTTTTGAACCTTCTAGAATCGTTGACCAACGACTTTTTATGCGGGGTACTAGTTTATATTTTAAAGTGAATTGGTCTTGGGTCTCAACGTGGACTATGGCTTAATATAATCATTTGTTCATATTAATATTTAAATTCATATATAACAATTGAAGTTTTATATCACTATATAAATAGAGTCCGTTTAATAGATACATGAAATTGAGTTTCAGATACATACAATTTCTTTTTTTTTTATATATATATAATTATTTTGAACATATGGAGGTTTACAATGCTAAAACAAATTAGTGATTGCAATGTTATTTAAAGTGGTGAACATTAAATTGTGAAGATAATATTTTACAATCAAAAGATGTTATATAGTGCTAAATAGATATTTTATGTATTGCTTGTAGAAGACATTTTAATTATATTTTAGCATTTTAAAAAAATGTTTAAGATGTATAATAATAATAAATAAATAATATTGAATATCACATTTTAATATAATTAGTATTTGTTTTAAAACAACGTTTGTTTTATTCTTCCAATGATTGCAAGTATCTTTTCCTTTCCATTGTTGCTTTTATCAGTCATTCTCTCTCATATATCTGCCACTGTTAGAAGTTTTAATCTAATTAAGAAATTAAAAGAGTAATTATTTGGAAGTTTAAATTATAAATATTTAATATATTTAATATTTTAAAATATAATTTTTAAATAATTAACAAAAACACATGGTACTAATGGTAGTATTTTTCTTCAATATATACTCACCTATTATGAATTAAATTGACCTAACTTAATATGAAATAAAAAGGAAAGTGGTATTGATATTGTTCGTTGGGGAATGCACACACTCTTAAAATTTTCAAATTTCTATTTACTGTATCGAATATAAGCATGCAGGTCCAGTGCAGTTAACGTGAAAACTAGACATCCAATTTTATTTTTATTTAAGCAAAAATAAACTAGTTTAAGTGAAAATGAAAAAAATGACAAATATTTTTTTTTTATGTAAAATTAGCTTAAGTAAATTTTACAGATTTACTTAAGAAAATTATATTAACTTAAACAAATTTTGTGCATTTGATGGAGAATTAAGAATAGATAGAAATAAGAAGATGGGTGATATAAGGATGGTGGTAGAGTGAGAGGAGGGTGTAGAGTTTGGGATAGAGCAAAGAGAGAGATATAAGTATGAGTTAGGGTGAGAGTGAGAAGAAGAAAAAAAAAAGAGTTAGGCATGAGTTGAAAGGAAAAGGGAGTTAAGAGAGAAACAAATGAGTTAGGTATGAAAGAAGGAAAAATGTTGAATATGAAAGTTGAGGAGAGAGTATTAGATATGAGTAAAAGCAAAAGAGAAGATTGAGAGAAAAATACAAAATTTGCTTAAGCTGACATAATTTGCTTAAGCGAATTTTACATATTTTTTTTTTTGTTTTTTACATTTTCGATTAAGAAAGTCTATTTTTGTTTAAACAAAAATGAAACTGCATTTCTAGTTCCTGCGTTAACTACACTAGATCAGTATCCAAAATATAAATAACTCAATTTAACCAATTCTGCTGTACAATATTTAAAATATAAAATCGAATATTAAGAGCATTCTATTTTTAAAAAGAGTTTTTACTTTTTAAAAACAAAAAATATACTTATTATTTATTTATTTATTTACTTTAAAAATGAAAACAAACATATTCTAAGTTTTTGTACCTTCTCTCTTCCAACTTTGTATGACTCATAATTTAAATTTTTTTAATTTTACAGTGCTTTATTATTTATCAAGCTATTATGACATTTTTTTTTTCTATTTAGTGAAAAATTAACAACGTTTCTATTATTTATTGTCCTGAAAAAATTAATTGCATTTTAAATTGAACTTAGAAGAAAAGTTTTATATCCAGACTCTGAAGTTAAATTCGACAAGCTTCAATAATTTATTTGATTTTTTAAAATATTGGTTTAATAATAATTACATTGTCATTTGTCTAAAAATTATATTTATCAATGAACACGGATCACGCATGCATCTCACGTGTGTAGACGGCCGTGAGATTCAAAACACGTGGTTATAAAATCATATCCAAAATTGTTTTCAACATTGAATAGTCTTTGAAACACTAAAATAATATGAAAAAGGTTGAAAACATCTTTGAACTGATTTGTAAAACAGCAATAAAACATTATAACCAAAATCTATTCCCCATCCATAAAATCTCACACATCAAGAAATGTTGTAATTGTGTTTGATTTGGAGTTGTGTGATATTGACAAACATAAAAAAACAGTTTATGCATCACTGTTCAGTTCTATTCAAGATGCATCTCCTTAATTTCATTCTCTAATTAGCAGAATCCAATTCAAAGGCTAACATTTGAAGATATTAAATTTGGGTAAAGGCGTAACTCAACTTCAAAAGCTAGCTTTAAGGTAAGAATTGCTTTAGTCTTCGTGAGCTCTTTCACCATATCTATAGTTGATGTATGACTTCAACAGAAGATTTAATGAATGTTTGAGTGAAATTAGATCAACCCTTCAACCAAGAGACAATGAATGGAGACTTCAAGGTGCTAGTTTTGTGCTCTCTTCTGTTCCACTTCATACCAAGCTTCAACACCTTAAACACCATTGCTCCAGGCCAATCTGTCAAGGATAATGAGACTCTAGTTTCAACAAATGGAACCTTTGAAGCTGGGTTCTTCAACTTTGGAGATCCAAATAGCCAATACTTTGGTATATGGTACAAGGATATTTCTCCAAGAACTATTGTATGGATAGCTAATAGAGATGCACCAGTTGAAAACTCCTCAGGAGTTTTGAATGTCACTGATGGTGGAAATCTTGTTATCCTTAGTGGCACAGGATCTTTAGCTTGGTCCTCCAATGCATCAACAACTGAAAAGAAACCAGTTGTGCAACTATTGGAGAATGGGAACCTTGTTGTGAAAGAAGAAAGCAACCCAGGTAATATTGTGTGGCAAAGTTTTGATCATCCTGGGGACACTTTTCTCCCAGGGATGAAAATTCGAAGTAACAGGGAGAGTGGTAATTTTACATCTCTAACATCTTGGAGAGACACACAAGATCCTGGTAGTGGTGAGTATTCATATCACATAGATACTCATGGTTTTCCTCAAGTGGTGATTACAAAGGGAGGGACATGGTTGTATAGAGCAGGTTCATGGAATGGAAATATTTTATCTGGAATTCCTTCTGAAACATTGTTTAAATACTTTAATTTCTCTTTTGTGATAACTGATAAGGAAGTTTCTTATGGATATGAACTCTTGAACCAATCTATTGTTTCAAGATACATGCTCACTTCAACAGGCCAAATAGAACGTTTCATTTTGTCAGATCAGACAAACAATTGGCAGATTTTCCTAGCCGGCCCCGCAGACCGGTGTGATAACTATGCCATTTGTGGTGCAAATTCTAATTGTGATGTAAACAACTCTCCAACCTGTAATTGCCTTCAGGGTTTCATTCCCAAATCTCAAGAAAAATGGAATTCACAACAGTGGTCTGATGGATGTGTTAGGAGAATTGCTTTGGATTGTGGCAATAGTGATGGTTTTCTGACGTATCAGGGTGTGAAGTTGCCAGACACATCAACTTCATGGTTTGATAAGAGCATGGGCCTTGAGGAATGTAAGAATTTTTGTCTGAAAAACTGTTCTTGCACAGCATATGCAAATTTAGATATCAGAAATGGTGGAAGTGGCTGCTTACTTTGGTTTAATAACATTGTGGATGTGAGAAAACTAACTTCTGGAGGACAAGACCTTTACATAAGAGTGGCAGCTTCAGAACTAGGTGCTGATATTTTATATCCATTTACCTTCCTGATTATGCTTTTTCCATTTAAACACACAAGTAAAAATATATAAATTCTAGTTCTTACTAAGCTGCAAATTATGTTAATTGGAGACTGTTTATGGGATGCATGTTTTAAATTTTATCCCTATTGCAAGTAGAAAACAGAACATGAAAGAATAGTACTAGTTTTGATAAAATATATTTGCATGGAAGCATCTAATTGCTATCAACTTTTATTGTCATTTGTTATTAAGCGCTTCGGATGTCTCTTGAGAGTCTATGAAATGCCCAAAATTGTGTGTTGACTAACGGTGCTTTTATTCTCTCAGGTCATAACAAGGGCCAGAGCAAGAAGAAGCTTGCAGGAATTCTGATAGGCTGTATTATGTTCATCATGCTCATAATAATACTGGGAGTGGTTATACTTCGGAGGAAGAAAGTCAAGAAACATGAGAAGCCAGGTAATCATTTAGTTATTTCAATTTGAATTGATTTATTTTGTTAATGTACTATTATGCAAATAATAATTATTATCCAAGAATTACAAATATTATTTTCTGATACAAATTTTAAGGTTTGGTAACAATTAGCTTTTCCTCTTATGATAGAACAATTAATGCATTGCCATCTATTCACAATCATTCTTCTTCCTTCACAGGGAAGAACCAAATAATTGGCTGGAAGAATCACACTGATAACACAGAGAAGGAAGAAATTGACATACCAATCTTTGATCTATCAACCATAGCTAATGCAACTAATAACTTCTTCATTAGAAACAAATTGGGAGAAGGTGGATTTGGACCAGTTTACAAGGTACTGTGATTAAGGCTATATCCTGCCATTGGATTTATCTTCTATACACAATTCCCATGTTTAAATTATTGTCAGGGTACATTGTCAAATGGGCAAGATATAGCTGTGAAGAGGCTTTGCAATAATACAGGACAAGGACCAAAAGAGTTCATAAATGAAGTGAATCTAATTGCCAATCTTCAGCATAGAAATCTTGTGAAACTTCTTGGTTGTTGCATTCAAGATGATGAGAGAATCTTGATATATGAATTCATGACTAACAGAAGCTTGGACTACTTCATTTTTGGTACGAGATTTTTTCCTGTGTTAATACTTTAGATTTTCTATTTCCATGATCATCAAGCCATCTTCATGCTAACTAAACTGAAAATTTTGTCAGATGAAACTAAAAAAAGTTTACTGCTTTGGCCTAAGCGCTTCCAAATTATATGCGGGATTGCTCGAGGACTTCTCTATCTTCATGAAGATTCTAGATTAAGGATTATCCACAGAGATCTCAAGACCAGCAATATTCTTCTTGACAAAAATATGAATCCAAAGATATCTGACTTTGGTCTTGCTAGAACATTTGGGGGAGATGAAGCTGAAGTAAAAACAAAGAGAGTAGTGGGAACTTAGTAAGCATGCTTAAATGACTTAATTTTAGTACTCTATGATGCATCAAATTTTCCTTCCTCCTCCTCTCCCTTGCAGTCTTTTACTATGATCCACTTCATTTTCTGTATTGCAGTGGTTATATTTCTCCAGAGTATGCAGCTCGCGGGAATTTCTCAGTGAAATCTGATGTCTTCAGTTTTGGTGTTATAGCACTAGAGACAGTTAGTGGAAAGAAGAATAAGGAATATTTTGATCATCATAATCTTGACCTTCTTGGACATGTTAGTTTAAAAAATTTAATCCACCTTAGTACCATTTATATTGGCATATTCCATAGTGAACTACTCAAAATTTTAATTTTCACGTCCTCTAGGCATGGATACTTTGGTGTGAAGAAAGGCCATTGGAGCTGATAGATGAATCACTGCGCAAAACAATTGCTCTAGCTGAAGCTGATGTATTAAGATGTATTCACATTGGGCTTTTATGTGTACAAGAGAGACCAGAGGACAGGCCGGACATGTCAGCTGTAATTCTAATGCTGAATGGTGAGAAAAAATTGCCCAGGCCAAGGGAACCTGCCTTTTATCCTCACCAATACTCTTCATCAGGAAATATTAAACCGCATTCAACTAATGAAATTTCTATGTCAATGTTTGAAGCAATATAGTTGTAAAGAGTTTATAGAGTTAATGAAATAGGGTTCCCTCTCAATGTTTGTGACTGAATACTGTAAGGTGTAAAATGCATTCTGTCCATCTCCAACTTGTCATTAACCACATTGATTTTGGAGCAAGGCATCAAGCAACATACCCTCCAGAAGATATTTTAGTACTTTATGCCGGTAATGTTGAATAGTCAATGAAACACAGAGAAGCAATAAAAGTTATAATTTCTCTATTTGAACACTTCCCTTCACATTTCTATTTAATTTCTTTTGTAGATGTTTATCTTCTACTCTAACTTTCACGGCAGTTACAGTACAATCCACAACACAATATTCTACTCTAACATGCTCAGTTTCTTTGCACTCCTTTACTGTTTTGATTAACTTGCAAGAACATTGCTCCGCACAAGTGCAAGATGGACTAGGCCTCATTGATTCCATTTCTTCCCCCAAGATATTTAGATCAATAAAAAAAAGAAGAAACAGATCTTTCACCTTGCTTTATTGAATGTATTGCCTGCAAGATATCAGAGATTATGAAATAGTCTCCCTTTGAAAATCAATCTTTCAGGTCTTGCCAAACTTCTTGAGAGTACTTTGAGCAATCTGCTAATTCAACATTCTTGTGATCCATGATACAACCACTGTGTTGCATCTCTCCCAAGAATCCTACTTTCTAGCATGCAAAGTAGAAATTTTTTTTCTAGGTATTGGAATCTGATGATGGGCTGGCTGGAAAAATCACCTCTTCAAACCGATCATCTTCTGTGGTCATGGGATCTTGTTCTTCGCTATATTGCATGCTTTAGTTGGTCATGTTTTTCACATTAACGAGTTGAGGAACTTTTGAGGATTGCATAGATTTTGAAGTTCTTATCTTATTACTCTTATCCACTGTATCACTACTGATATTTGAATTTCGGGTATAAATTAGTCTTTTCTTATGATTGAACAATACTATAATTTCATTTTATTTTTCTGTATTGCCAATATTAAATCTTTTTTACGCATCTCATTATTTAATAAACTAAATAAATAATTTGACAGAACATCGTTCAATACAACTGTCAACTCGAGAACTCCTCATCATCGTCACGACAGCAGTCAAATAGTTCTTCTTATTGGAATTTTCTAGATGATCAAATCAATTTGGATTATCTTCAATATTGAATTTGTGAATGTTTAGATACTCATACTCGAAATTATTATTCAGGTTCGAATTAAATACAAATATAATTTTATATCAAGTGTTTGAAATAAATTTTAAAAATTACAACTCGATGAACTTACACATTCGCAATGCTCGTACTCTTTAAAATCTACTTAAAAAATCATAAATTAATCTAAATTAGATATATATAACAATTTACAGAGTTAAAATAAAATTTTATTTAAATACTTACATTGTCATTTAATTATAAATTAGAATTTTAAATAAAATTTAAACAATTGTTAAATTTTATAATAATTTATATTAAAATCATATTCATGATATATTATAATTATTAATAATATAAATTTTTTAAATAAAAATACAATATAATTAAACTCTTAAAATAATAAATATGTGAGATTAGATGTGTAATTTTAATAAATATAAATTAAATTTAATATATTAATAATATACAAATGCAGAATGAAGTAAACTTTAGAATACAGATGCTTACATTCATTTTAGTAAATAATTATTTAAATCTAGAGCCAAATTCATTCAATGATTTTACACTCATTTAAAAAATTTAATCAAATAAATATTTAATTTATATGAAATTATAAAAATTTTATATTCATAATCATTATAATTATATTTCATGATTTAATAATTAAATCGATAAATTTTATTAATAATAAAATTTAAAATTTTAAAGATATTATTTTACTTAGTTTAACATTATAATAAAATGATACATTCAATATCATTTTTATTAAAAGAAAGTGACTGGAGTTCCTTTGACTGAGCAAGCTCATTTTATTAATTCTAATAGCTAGTTTTATACAAATAATTAACGATTTTTATTTTTACACTTTAGCTATCTCCTAACTTATAAAATGTAAGTCTAAATTTAATATTTAATATTTTTTATACTCATTATAAATATTCATTCAACAAAGACACTAACAATTTACGAGAACTCAATTTGAGTAAATTTCTAGAAAAACTCTTAAAAAAGAAAAAAAATTAATATAAAAAATAAATAAAATTTCTTTCATAAATTAAAAGTAATTTATATTATTTTTAAGTTCTAAAAATTCTCTCATTTAAATTCTCTAAAATTTGAAAAGATAAATTATTTTGAACTTATTAGATAAAATTTATTTATTTTTTATATAATTTTTTTTTCATATAAGAACTTTTTTAAAAGTTTCCTGCTGGACCTAAATCAATTTATATTGCCAAGAATAATTAGCCATTTAGAAAGCTCAAATCTGTCGCAACAAAAACAACTTAAAAGACATTATCCAAGGCCAATTATTATTTTTTATTTTGAAATTGAAAACATTTATTGTTGCAATAACTTGTGTCTGATCTCACATGGAAATACATACATATGAAATATGAAAAGCAATTTCACTAGTCATTACTCACTACTTATCTACATCATTAAACTGCTCCAAAATTAAGTTCAAAATGCAACCTATCTAGCAGACATTAGGCTGATTGTGATATCATTATTTGAGTATTGTTTGTTACTGTTTGATGAAGAACTGTCACCAACCATATTTCTATTTGTAAAGAATCCAGGCAATTTAGGCTGAGGCAGTGTGCATTCACTGCTCAACATCAGTACCACAGATGACATGCTTGGCCTGTCATCTGGATTTAGTTGCACACATAGTAGTCCCACATGAACTGATCTTAGCACTGAAGATAAATTGAGTGAGTCTCTTATAGTTTTATTAACTATTTCAGTGCATTTTTCTTCAGTAAATAGTCTCCATGCCTGCATAATTTTAAAAACAATTGGTTAACAGAAGAACCATATTAATTGAAGTTCAAGTTCATGCTTACATGTGACAAAAGATTATCTTCATGACAGAAACCTCTATTTCTCTTTCCACTCACTATCTCCAATATCAACACACCAAAGCTGAATACATCAGATCTTGTTGAGTAAGCTCCATTAATTATATACTCTGGCGGCAGATAGCCACTGCATGTCACATACATACACAAAATAAACAGATAAATAAATTTAAAACAAGCCATGCCATCACGATCATGTTTATACAATATAACTATATAACTGTAATAAAACACTTACTATGTTCCAACTACATGCATTGTGTTTGCTTCGGTTTCAGTTCCTCCAAAGCTTCTAGCAAGTCCAAAGTCCGAGATTTTTGGGTTCATTTCACTATCTAGCAAAACATTTCCGGCTTTAAGATCTCTATGAACTATTCTATGCCTTGAATCTTGATGAAGATAAAGAAGACCGCGAGCAATCCCATTGATAATGTGCAAGCGCCTTGGCCAATCTAGTAACTTGCTCTTATTTTTATCTGTTCAAAAGGTGGCCAAGTTGGACTACTTTTCTAATAAGATACCATCATTCCAAAGTCTGAATCATGATAGAGAAAGCTTGAATCCAGAACTAGCCTTATTTTACCTAGTGGGATATTTTTTAAACAGTTTCTATTGGTATTAGAATATCAAACTTCATTGATTAAAAATCTATTGCCCTTCCTCAGGTCAAGGAAAATTCATTTACATTCTAGCATGATTTCTTTGTTGTATCTGTTCAATTGAAATAATTTTCAAATGAAGAATATGATATTCACCAAATGAGAATAAATAAAGAATAAGGTTTCTTTGGAATCAAACCAAATATGAAGAAATCCAAGCTTTTGTTGGGCATATATTCATAGATCAGCAATCTTTCCCCTGCTTGAATGCAGTACCCTAGCAGCTTCACTAAATTCCTGTGCTGAAGTTTGGCAATATGCATAACCTCATTTTTGAACTCTTGGAGTCCTTGGCTTGAATTCTTTGAGAGCCTCTTGACAGCTATCTCACATCCATCATCCAGGATACCCTGAAACAAATTGTACTAAGCTTCGTATTTACTAAAATATGTATGAGGTAAATTTACTTAAATTTCATCATTCAGTAATCACTAGAATTGTTCCAATATTGAATAATTTTTTTTGCAAGAATGTATCTTGAAAAATTTTGTAGAAGCTCAACAATATGACATTAATGAATTAGAATCTGATGAGCAGCATAACAGCCTCTTTGTATGTCCCAACTCATTTTAAATTCCTACAGAAGGAGAAGAGTACAAATTTTACAATTTCATGTTGCACATAATGCCTTTTGACAATTTCAAATTTTAGCTGATAAGAAGGGACCAAAGATCTGGTTTAGGCCACGCAGGTTTAAAATAGTAATATGGAAATGAGTCAAACAACTTACGAAGTTGTCTTGGTGTTCAAGTTATTTACATTGGAGGTGACAAAAAGTATCAATGCCCAGCTGAAATTATGTAAATGTGTAAAGTAGAATCAAACTAAAGCCATCAGCAGATATAAAGCTCTCCCTTAAAATTAACGTCTTTAGTGCAAACTATTGACCATAGAAATGTCTCATCAAATTCACATTTTCTAACCAATTTTTGGTCATATAGAGGAAATGTATAGCATTATGTATAAAATTAACTTTATTGATATCATGTATTCTAGGCTCAAGGTGACATTTTATCATTTCATTACCTTATAAACTGCTCCAAAACCACCTTCCCCTAGTTTGTTGTCAGCTGAAAAGTTATTGGTTGCAAATCTAATTGTAGACAAGTCAAACATGGGTAACTCTAGGTCTTCCTTCTCGTTCTCGTCTATTACATTTGCATCACTTTCTGGATTGCCTTTCATCTTTCCTGCAAAGTAGTAAATGGAATGTAAAAAGAAAACATAAGTTGACATGTAGAACATGCTTAGTTTTCCCAATTCTTTCTACCTTCATCCCAAATGTAAAACAGGATAGAACTTATAGAAGCAAACTTTGATTGCATACTTCATTTTTCTGATATTCTTTATGTGATAAAACTTTATTGATTGATATTAAAGGTTTTTGACGATTTATTGATCCTAGTTGCTTATTTGTGAATGATGAATTATATGTAGTTGTTGAGATAAATATCATTTGACCAAATCTCAAGGAAAAGGAGAGAAAGAGAAACCCAAGACAGTGAAAATCTCTTTCAGAGTAAAAATTGCCAGCACTGACTGAGCTTAAATCTTGATCAAAGATAGAAGATATCATAATTTGTTGTTGAAGTCTCACATCAAATACAAATATAGCCAAATAAGAGCTTATAAAGGATAAAACACTCCTCACCTTACAAGCTAACTTTTGGGGTTGAGTTAGGCTTTTGCCCAAATTTACGAGTGAATAACAGCCTAAGCTTGCAGTAACTATAACATGTAGACGAATCAAAACACATAATCTCATTAATCAAAAACTTCTTAACTACCTTTCTGCTGTGTCTTCCACCATCTATAAATGATGAAGATTAAGCATAAGATTAAAATTCCAATAGACACACAGCTTATGATAACAGTCTTTCGCTTCCGGGTGATGGATTTATGTGATTGCTTTCTTTCAATAGCTTCTGAGAGAGAAATAAATTGGAAAACAGTAAGAAATGACAGAAGATAACAAAAGAAAGAAAACTTCCAAATTAGGAGGCAATCTCATACCTAATTCTGTGCCAGCCATCTTTATGTATATATCTTCATCAGCTTCCGTCAATTCTTTTATGTCAATCAGATCATTAAACCAAAGTAAACACCCACTTGGCCCATTATTGACATCCAAAGCTGCATAAGCTGTACAGGAGCAATTCTTCATGCACAATATCCTACAATTTTCAAGGCTCATATTTCTATCAAACCAGGATCTCTCTGTGTCAGGTAATTTCAACCCTGAAAACTTAAAAAATCCATCTCCATCACAACTCAATGAAGTTCTCCTCACACAACTACTGTGTATATCTGATGTTTTGTGCACAAATCCATCCAAGCAATTGCATACAGGAAAATTGTTTACATTACAGCTAGCATATGCTCCACATTTTTCATAGTAATCACAGTCATCCACAGGCAAGGATGCGAAGTCTCTCCAACCATTTTCATCATCACTCCAGTAAATCCTCTTGACAAATCCATTTGTTGTTAACACCAGCCTATGAAGATCTGACTTATTGGCAATTTCATAGCTAATATATATCTCGTCCTCATTAGAAACTAAATTAAATCTATATTCACCGTGTTGTTTCACCTGAGGTGTCCCACTAAACTGAACACCATTCCATGATCCAACACGAAATCTTTTGCCAGTGCCTTCTCTTAAAACCAATTGTGGATATCCACTAATATCAAATTGATAACTATATTTACCTTGAGATGGATCATCAGAGCTATTCCATGATGACATGTATCGGTTGGAGCCCGTAACTAAATTTCTTCCAAACTTTTGGCCAGGCAAGAGTGTATCTACTAGATAATCAAAACTTTGCCACAGTAAATCATTAGGATCATCATTGTTAATGCCATCCTGTACAACGAAATTTCCAGAATCCAAAAGCTTTGCAACCGGATATTGTCCTGTCCTTGTTGAATTGGAAGACCAAATAACACTCTTGTTATGGTTGAGAAGGACTAGAATTCCAGTTTCGTTGATTTTCAAAACCCCTGATGAATCAGTGAGAGGGTTGTCTCTGTTGGCAACCCATACTACTGTCTGTGTTGGGATTTTATGATACCAAATTCCAAGATAACGGCTTTTGGAATTTCGCGGACTGAAGAATCCCAGTGCAAAGATTTCTCCAGCTGAAACTATGATCTGGCCATCATTGATTGGCTGCACTGTATTAACTGTGTCTCTGACTGTGGTGGCTAATATAGTATTCAACATGACAAGGCAGAATAGAAGCAAGGTAAAGCCTTCCATCTGGTTGTGCATTTTTCTTCAGTATATATGTTCCTGTATTTAGCTTGTTTTAAAACACAGTGCTAAAATATAAAAAAACTGAGGCACAAAAAATGGAGCACTCTATTTCCATGAGTTGATTCTCCAAATCATATGGTCTTAGCAGCACTAGCAGTGTCAAATATCAATAGCACCTGTGAATACACAGAGAGTAAGCTTCATTTTTCTATAATTAGTGAATTAGCAGTAGTTACAGATTATTTACAGTTTGTAATTGCTATTGATCAGTAGCACAAAGAATCTCAACTTCTAAGTTTATTAGTCTTAGTCGGATCTGCAAACCCTCTAAGACTAATTAATTAAAATGATATAAACATGTTGATGGAATCAGAGCCTTACTATGCAATATGGACTTTCATGGCCAATTTTACCCCCCGAATTGTGGATGAAGCAAGCACATTCCATAAATTAGTAATCTCAAAAGAAGTTAGTCACTATATTCCAAACCGGTATTCCTCAGAGATAGAACAAAATACAAATGGTTTAGTTGATGTAAAGAAATTAAGGAAGAATATATTAAGCCCAAGGCTCGTGGTGTTTGAAGTGACCTCATGCAGTTCACATGCATGGAATAAGTTACTGGATAATTTTTTTTTAACAAATTTCTTTGCGAATACAAAAGTAAGCTTGCAAGAGTATTATTTCTAAGTGGGTCTACCCTGATTCAACGTGAATTAATGAAGGCAAAAGTGACATGCTGAAATATAAGGAAAGAGGGAAAAAAGAAGAGAAAATGACATAATATTCAACAGTGGTATGTATCTCTTCATATCATGATTCATTAATATAAGACTGAGTCACATACAAATCAATTTTTTTAACAGTAAATATTCATTTTAGTTTCTTAAATTAAAGATAGATAATTTTATTTTCTCACTTTACAAAAACCTTACTTTAATCTCCATGTTTAAAAAAAAATTTATTTTAATCCTACTTATATAAAACAACAATAAAAAATTAAATATGAAGTAAAAAAAAAAAAGACTAAAATGAGTTATTTTTAAAACATTAAAAATTAAAACAATATTTTTATAAAGTCCTGTTCGCAAAATTTCTAGAAAAGTTTTTAGGAGAAGAAATCAGGATAAAAATTTGAATAATTTTTTTTATAGGTTAAAAGTAACTTAAAATAAGAAGCTATTTTCATTTAATTTTTTTAAAATTTGAAGAGATAAGTTGTTTTAAATATATGGAAGAAGTTTTATTCATTATTTATACTATTTTTTTTCTTCTATAATCTCTAAAAGTTCATTAAAACATGACATAAATTGATTAATTTTTACAATTTTAAGAAGTAAAATAAATATTTATTCAGTCTTCTAATTAACAGCGATAAGTGACGTTAAGATGACCAGATAGCACGTGGTCATTAACAAGGAAATTATATTGAGCTATAATTTGACTTAGATCAACCATCATTTATTTGTTTTCAAGATAAGGTAATATTAGGTTTGCAAATTGCAACTTTGCGTGGACCATTTGAAGATCACATTCCAGTTGACCATAGTGATGTCAGTGTATCCTCTCCTCAAACTTAATTTGGGATGAAATGGACCTAAAAATAAGGAAGCATAGGCATAAAATGCAGGCTCAATAATCAACTTCATATTGGATATACAAAACACAAAATCGGGAATTAAGAAAACGTTTCATAAATCAACCAGTAATTTTACATGTGCAATTAAAGTTCCACGCAAATTTTGTATAATTTCATCATTATCATTATTTAGTCTTCTTTATTTATTTTTCCACTATCTCTAAGGATGTACCTGTGACATTTTTGTTCTCAAAATCAATGTACAGGTATCGTTTCTGTAAATAAATATCATTCACGGCATGGACAAGGATATGCTTATTCCATTATGATTAGGAGTTCTGTTATCAGAACAACTGAAGTGTAACACTATGTAATATCTTTATCTTATATATCATTAACAAGTACTAGCAGGCACATATGAAACGGGGATTTGTACTTGGGGTTTGGATAAATAGTTTAAAAGAGTAGTAATATGTTGGAATAAGTCTAAACTAATAAAGCACAAAAAACAGTAATAGTTTACAATTATTAGTCCTCAGTACTTGTGAAAAGCATAGAATTAGTCTAAACTAATAAAGTGGCATTGTTGGGACTGTTGTAGAATGAATTCTGAAATGACATTTAATGTGGATCCGTTTGATAATTTGTGACATCATTTGTTGACCGTAGTCCATAGTTTTATGTTAGTAAAACTAACCAAATCTTTCTCGGTAAAGAGCCCGGCAGGCCAATTCCATTCCCTACTCAAATCATGGCCACACTAATGAAGTGCTGTCCTGTCTTGTGGACTTTGTGGCACACATAGGACCCACACGAAGTAAAGTTATGACTTCAGATAAACAAAGTCAATATCTGATGGATGCATCAACTGTCTTTGAAACATTTACCCTTAACAATACAAGCTCGATCTAATATTAGAGAATGAGAGAGATTTAACTTAAGCTCAAGCAATTTCTTTGACTAAAATGTTTTTGATAAATTTAGAGTAAGACACTCTGATTTATATACCATTTGATATATTGTTAATCTACTCATATAATATCTTAACATTTTCATTATTTGTTTTTGTGCAAAGTGTTATGTGAGATATAAAATGGGTTCATGTAGCTAGGGTGCATGAGTCAGTTGAAATTCTATTGCTTAAAGCCGGCCCAGTGCAAAAGTCTGAGCAACCATAGTAAATTGAACACTTATTTGGTTATTTAGTCTCAAAACTAAATTTAGCAGTCAAATTACTTGGATCAGATAAAATTAACTAAAATTTTGTTGAGTTAACCAACTTAATTCATTGTAATAACTGAAATCTTTATCCTTTTTTATTTTGTTAATGTTAACAAATTTCAAGCAATTAAAAATAATACATTTTTATTTAAAAATATTTATTATACTAAAAACATAAAAAGTATAGTTAATATTTTTAATAAAATTATTATTTTTAAATTCTTAAAATCATCCACAATGTTAACATTTTTTTATTAATATTACATTAAATAGCGTTGTATATCGACTAAAGATCACAATTCACAAAGGACTAAAAAGTCATTACAAGAAGTCATTGAATATTTGTAGACAAGAATGACAGGATCCTCTCACGTTGAATTGTCATAAATATAAATTTATTATGTGAAAACTTTGTTTCAATCTCTCTTTATAAGCATAAATAGGTGAGACCTTATCAAAATTCATAAATATTTATGAAGAGAGATAAACACAAACATTTAACATCATGACATTGGATGTGTCTATTACCACTTTAATTAAGATGTCTATTATTACTCTTATTTCAGCAAATTTTATCTAAAATATTTTTCTTCTTTGTTAATCAAATTAATAAAAATATTTAAACAAAAATTTCTTAAATTATAAAGATAATAAATAGTAATTATAGAAACTCTGTTAAAATTTTAGAGTATTTATATAGTTTTGATTCATAGTTGTATAATTAATATTATTAGGATATAGTGTTTGATATTAATTATAAATAAAAAATGAGGAAATTAATGTTTATATTTCTTGAACTTCTAAAAATAATTACTAAGTAGTTATTTCTAATGGTAACCACCAAATAGTTATATTAGTAATTGCTAAGTAGTTATGTTTTATAATTTTTTCTAAGAATTTTCTCTCTATATATAAAACTTATGTTCTATTATGATTGTATAGACTTGTTTGTATAGTCGTAAGTTGACAATGCTCATAGGACAAACTTATTTTGTATTATTTTGGAACACTATACATATTAGGGATTGGATTGTTTTGCTATTATACTTACTCTTGGGAAAGTTTGGTTTGGATAAAAATATTTATTTTCTTTTCCTATGATTATACGTCTATGTTTCCAAATTTTGATTTTCTAATTCATATGACAATGACTTTGTTATTTTACTCCTTTGATATGAATTCATACCTCTGCTCATGATTGAAATAATGTGTAAAAAAAGGAGAAGATATTGCAAGAACTTATTTGAAACGAGCGAGAATTTCACGTGCCTGAATATGATTTGAGATGATTGAAAAGATTGTATGTTAAGTTGTTATTTTCCTATCCTTGATGTTGATAATGACTAATTATTTTTACTTATTTTGATTGGGATTGATGTTGAATTGACATAAACAATGTTGAGACGAGCAGGATAGAATGAGTGTTTGCAAACTCTGAAAGGTATCCCTATATGTTTATGAACTATAGAGGAACTGGGAATGGTTCCTCCACAATGGTGCATGAGTATATTAAATAATGACCTTATGGTGATTACTTATATATATGTAATGTTGTGAAATGTTGTTGTACTTAATGATACTTAGTGATGTTACTCAGATTAGCGTTTTCCCTTATCTAGATATGTGTACTTCCATGTAAGCTATTCCTATTTATGAACTTATTTTATATTAGAATTCAGAAGTTATCACAGTCCAGTTGTATTTGGGTTCTAGTGATTTAGGTGTCCCAACTTAGTAATATTAGAACTTTAGTACTAGAAGGGTGTTACACTTAATATGACATTAAATCTTAAGTTCAATAAGATTAAATCTCTTATTTGATGATTGGAAGTACAAATAATAAATTCAAGGTAAGAGTGCTTTAGAATTGTGATGTTAAAGAGGTTGATTAATTCTTAATAGATCTCTTGACTTTATACTTTTTCGCAGGAGCATATTTCCTTAAGAGATATATCTATGTAAGTGTGTAGTTTGACTGCTTCAAGAAGCCAAGGAGACATTGCTTTGGTGCACTTATGAATGGATATGGACGCATGGCCTTTATTATGTCAAGTATAATAGGAACATGTATTTAATCTTGTGTGTATAATATCTTCAAGTTTTTCATATGTATTTATTTAGTTCAATCATTTTGACACCATTGAAATACAAATTCTGGAAATGTATGTTATATTAAGTGAAAGTTCAAGTCTATATACGCCCT